ATATATATATATATAGAGAGAGAGAGAGAGAGAGAGAGAGAGAGAGAAAGAGAGACTGGGTTTCTCTGTGAAGCCTTGACTGACCTGAAATTCACTCTATAGACCAGGCTGGCCTCGAACTCACAGAAGCCCCCTACCTCTACCACCTAAGTGCTGGAATTAAAGGTGTGTGCCACCACCACCCTGCTAGGAAAGGTGACTCACCAGAGCTGTGGAACACTTTGAGGGGTGTCCTCTCATGCCCCTGACCTTGGGTCAAGGGCCAAAATATTGGCTGTCCTCTCAAGCCTCCATGTATTTATCAGCATTGGCCTCCACATTTGGTTGCTGAACACCCAGAAAGTCAGTCACACCAGTCTTAAAGAAAAGCTTGGGCACAGGACATATCTCACTGCTTTTCGATTTCGCTGTGGGTTGATACTGGAAGTGAAAGTGCTTCTCACAGGTTATATTTAACTAAGTTGCCTGGTGACATTATACAGAGCCAGGTTGACCTCTTTCTTTTTAAAGCCTGGGGATCAAATTTCGTCCACTGCATATCAAGAGATGACTTAGTAGGAACAAGGTATGATTTCCTCTCTCAGATATGGCATCAACTCTTTTCTATAAGGGTCAGGAGAAAACCAAAATTGTCTCCTCCCCCTCCCCCGCCTAGTCACAATGTGTCGGGCACATGGTTATAGCCGAATCTCTCATTAGTGCACTAGAAAAAAAAAAAATCATCCCTCAAGAACAGAACTCATTGTAGAAGTCCGACATTACCTCTTCAGCCTGGTATGGAAAAGGCACAGACATTATCACATGGTGACAGAGATACACAGAAAACATTGCCACCCAGTCCTCTTTGATCAAAAGCACCCAAGCAAGCACAGGGGTAGTGGGAGCTGGAAGAGGGCATGTGGAGCAAGGTTAAGTAGCCTGAAGCAGTCATAAAATCGGGACAGATCCTGGAGCTAGGCACAGGTACTCATGCACAGAGTAGAGAATGTCATGGTCTCAACTCAAGGGACTGGGGAGTCCACACCTTCCCGCAATGCCACAATGAAGATGAAGAAAATCCAACTGTAATGAGGAACACCGAAAGACAGTGCCTGGACCTAGACCTCACTTAACCTTCCAGCCCTTGGTTTTACAAGCAGCTGACGCAAATACAATTCCATTTTCTATAAAGGACATGAGCATCCACAGAAGACAGAAGTCTTCTTTGGGGAGGTCCTGGAACCAATCTTCTGCAGATAGTGGGGGGGTGACCCTAACATCTTTTCAGAGACCCAGCGGGTTACCTAGCTCCTTCCACCATAGAACGGACTGTCTGAAAGGAAATGAACCCTCAACAAACAGGGACTCTACTGGCACATTTACCTTTATTTTCAGAGTTAGAAGTCATCATTTTTTTTTTTTTAATTTTTGAAGTTGGAGTCTTTTGCCTGCATGTAGGTATGTATACTACTTGTATCCTTGGTGCCTCTGGAGGTCAGAAAGGGCCAGCAGGTACCCGGAAACTGGCGCTATAGATGGTTACTAACCATCATGTGGGTGCTGGGAATCAAAACTAGGTGCTAGCAAAAAGAGATCTTATTTATTGAACTAGAGTGATGAACCAGAGTGATGAATAAGACATGCAGGTTGTTGCTGCATCCTGCATTTAGTAAAGCAATGCCCTCAGACATTTGGGGTGGCGTATAAGTACCTGATGCTCCCAGGAGTCAGTGTGGTACAAGGTGCTCAGGTCCCGAGAGGGAGCTGTCCGTGATGGGCACCTTACTGGGTGGCCCGCAACGCCATCTACGGTAGTTTTCCACCCACCTGGCGCAGCAGTTCTCAGCCAGGGATGACGTAGGCCCCATCCAGAGACAGTGTGTGCATCCGGGGGCACCTGAGGGGACGCTACTGTGTCAGGGGTGTGCAACCTGGGGACAGTGCCATGCCACAGAGGATCAGTTCATCTCAGAGGTCAGCCCGGGGCTCAAGAAGGTGGAGTGTTAACACCCGAGTAAGGCCTCTCCAGGTTTGCTTCATCCAACCTTTTCCTGAAGGGGATTAGGATGCTGCAAGAGCTGGGGACAAGTACGAGCCACGTCCCTGCCTTCCCACTGGCAGGCAAGCCGGGGGTGGGGGGGCAGAAACACTTCGGAGCTTCCCAAGATATCGTAGCTTGAGCAGAGTCGAAGAGGTTGGGTGCTGACCTCTGTCCATTGAGCTTTATGAAGCCTGGCCCATCTCTGAGCCCTGATGGTGACTCATGAAGGCCTGAAGGAGTCTGGGCACTATCTGACGGTTCCTTACTTGCTTGGAACCACTAAATCAATCCACGCTGTGATCCTCTTTAATCTTGGATGGGTGGGTACACCATTTAGAGAGTGAACTTGAGGCCAGGGGAAGGCTAGAAGAGCCAGGGCGGGACCGTAGGACCGCAGGTGTTGGGATGGGTTCTGGGACAAATCACCCTTCCGTCTTCAGTCATTCATCTGCCAAGCTGATCCCCACCCTTTCAGTCCCCGGTTGATCTCACAGCAAAAGGGATCCAGGTCCTGAGCTACCCAGACCAACAGCATGTGGAACACGGGACACACAGTGGGCCAGACCCCAACTCTGGGCGAAGCTGTCTTAGTACCCCGACGCCCTTCCAGCCTTCCTCAGATCAGATGCTGCATAGACACAGGGCCCTTCCTGAAGCACAGCCTGGACTGCATTCAGGAAAAACAACCGCTTGCTCTCGTTCTGGCCCCGGGCCTGCAGCCCCTTCTGCACCTCCTGAAGAAGAGAGAAGGAACAGCCATGGAGAGGGAGACAGGGGTTGGAGGACCCTGGCTAGGGGTAGACTGTGGACAGGCGCCGGTCCCAGAGCATAGAATTTATAACCTGAAAATATCAGAGGGCACAGACTACGGGGACTATGCAACTCAGAACAAAACCCCCGCAAGCACCAAGTCCATTCTGTTCTTGGGTCCAGTTCACTAGGGCCCCAGAGGACAAATCTGAGGTGATCTAGGGGCTGCTGCTGAGAAGACAGCTTTAGAAAACTGGGGCTAAGAGGCACAATTTTGGGTCTCTTCAAAGCAGCCCTAGCTAGGAACCCAAGGATACCTTGGGACACTGAGGAGGACAAACCTCTAGAAGCCAGACATCCAGACCCATCACCTGCCAAAACACACAGGACAACAGCAACACAGGGACAAGAACTCACGACCTAAGACACCCAGATATGCAGCAGTCGAATTCCCGGGGGCCTCTGACTTTAGGGCTTATAAGGGGGTGTCTAGGAGGACCCAGAGCTCCAGAATATCCTCGAGCTGTTCTCACACGTCAGCACACACACCAAAACTGGAACAACCCAGAAAGAGTAACGTGGTCTTTGCTCAAGAATGACTTGTAAATTCATGAAGCATTCCATATGCATGCCTGTACATGTCTGAGCATATTTATGAGCGTATGTATTTATGAATGTATACTTAAAGGAATGCTTACATATCAAGCCGGGTATGGAGGTACAGCACTCAGTTGGGCAGAGGCAGGGGGCTTGTAAATTTGAGATCAGCCTGGACTACGTAGCAAGTCTGAGGCTAGCCAGAACCAAATGCTGTCTCAAAAGTAAATGAACTTGTGCATATCCAAGAAAACTAGAACCCTGAGGGAATTGGCGGGAGACCCTCAGGGCATGGGGCCCCATTTGCTCAGGTATGACACTAATACCTGTGAACCCCGAGGTAGAAACCAAAGTTCTGGTGTCTCTCTCTCTCTGTTTCCTTCCTTCTTTTTTATTTTTTTTTCTGCCTTTTTGAGACAGGGTCTCTGTGTAAAAAGCCCCCTAGCTGTCCTGTACTCCTCGCTTTGTAGACCAGACTGGCCTCAAACTCAGAGATCCACCTGCCTCTGCTTCCAGAGTGCTGGGATTAAAGGTGTGCACCACCACACCGGGCAAACTATGCTTTCTAAAATGTTAAGCACTTTATATTCCTGGGCTATGAACCCCCTTGCCCTGCCTTTTATCATGTTAAAGGGAGGCCAAAAAAAAAAAAAAAATCTTAAGAATTGCGTTTCTTCAGCCATACACTGTTTCAAATTAATGGGCCAGGAACATTGTCCACTATGCCCTACATTTCACAGACATCCAGGTACATCCATAATCTCTGCAGTCTTTGTAATTAGTCGCCTCCTAGCCAACTCCTACAGGTGACATTATGGGACTGGAGCCCCCGGCAAGGTGAGATTTGGAGACATGCCCTTAGGGCTTTGACGTTTTTCTTTTTTCTTTTATTTACTGTACGAATTGCCCAGTGACTTTAGCATAAAAGGCTGAGGCATTCAGGGCCGAAGCCAAAACTAACCTTTCAATCCTCAGAGGCTCCACGTCTCAGAATTTAGTGGCCAGACTCCAAGACCTCCCTTGCCTTGGTGGTAGCTTATGAAGGTCCTTGGAGATTTAAGGTCTCCACACCAGAGTTTATGATGTTCTCCGCGGGAAAGTCCTGGGTCTGTATAACTGACATTCTGATATCCCAAGGGAGCTGAGGATCTTGGCCTTATGGGGCACTGGGTTTCATTAACCTCATTTCCCGGACTGTGTGTCATCTTCTAAATTCTCAGAGTCCAAGATTCTCAGAGTGCTGAGGCTTGAGAACCGATAATTGCTGAGAAAGGATTTTCAGTTAAGAGTCAAGAGCCAAGCCTCAGGGAGTAAGGGCTTAAAAGAACACGCCTTGGATCTTGCATCCTCTAAACATCAGTTCCTTGGGCCCAGTGTTCTGACAGAGCATCTCGGGTCCCCAGAAGAACTCTGCACCGATGCCAAAATGCCAAGAATCTGAGTCCAAGGGGCTGAGCACAGACCCTCAGACAGGAACAACAAGGTTCTCAACACTACGTATGTTGTTCAAATCCATCATGACCGGAAAATATTATAGGTCAAACTGCATTTGTATGTTTAATGTATCTAAGCTGAAGAGATGACTCAGCACTCAAAAGCACTTGTTGCCTTGGCAGAGGACCCAGGTTCGGTCCTCAGCACCCACACGGTGGCTCACAACGGGGGTCCCATGCCCTCTTCTGACATCCATGAGCACCAGTCATACATGTGACACACATACAGACATGCAGGCAGTATACTCATACACAAAACAAATAAATCTTTTTAAAAAAGCTTTTAAGCCTAACATCATAGCTTGCCCCAAATGTGCAGAACACCAACCTCAGCCTACGCTAAACGTTGTCTAAGACAAAGATCATTTTATCGTAAAGGGTTGCGCACCTCACATGTAATTTTTTTTTTCCTGAGGACTGTCCTGAAGTTATAACATAGAATAGTTATAGGAGCAATCACCATTAATGTATAATGAGCATTAAAGGGTTTCCACTAGGTGCATATAACTTTCTTTTTTTCTTTTTTTTTTCTTTTTTTTTTTTTAGCACTGGGAACTTACATAAACTCTTTCACCGATCTACATCCCCAGCCCTGCATATATGACTTTTATGACTTTTACAACACTGGAAAGTTAAAAAATTCATGAGCCAAACTATTTTGGAGGTGAGGGCTGTCTGTAGGCGCCCTTTTTGCTAAAGGTCTCTTACTCTAAGGGATTTTGGAATTCTAAGGGACCTTCCCAGAAGGAGGCCTTGGGAACCCAAACATAGAACTTTGAGAACCTTAAACCACAGATGTATGGAATGGCCATAAACCCAAAGCTTGACATTTATCTAGTTCTGTGTGTGTGTGCGCGCGTGCATGCGCGAGTGTGTGTGTGTGTGTGTGTGTGTGTGTGTGTGTGTGTGCGCGCGCACGCGCGCGCGCGCGTGACGTAGGAGCCTGTGGAGATCAGAAGAGGATGTTGGTCTCTTGTGAGTGGTTGTGAACTGACCCACCGGGCACCACAGTGCATCCGGTTAGCATCACCTTCCAGGAAGCTAAGGGTCTGTCTGGAGAGGAAGGTGGTCGGCAGCTAGTCAAAGAGACTTCAGCCCCTGGTCCTGCCCCGACCCCCGGGGCTTTAGTGGGAGAATCACGTGTTTAGAACAAACAATAACAAAACGCTACAGGAAAAGCAAGCTCTTTCAAGAATAAACTCTCAATCATGAGCTTCAAACTACACGAGGGAACAAACCACCAGCCTCACTCACCTGGTTGAACTTGGGTTCATACTCCACACGGCCCTTGCTGTCGACATGCAGGATGGGGGCTGCAATGGCTTCTGTCAGGTCAAAGCCAAGCCACAGCTTGTTCATGATGGTCTGGAAGAAGAGGATGTGGGGAAGGAGGAGGCATTCACGGGAGGTGACCATCCCACCACAACACCCCTGTCCCCACCCCAGGGAGTTTCCGGAGAGGGAACGCACTAGCCAGGAACCGTCAGACTCACCTGGGCAACAGCAGAGATAATAAGCTCTCCGCCAGCCCCGCCAATCACCAGCTTTGATCCCTCCGCTTTGTTGATCAAGATGGAAGGCACCATGGAAGATGGCGGCCGCTCACCTGGGACTGGGGCCAGCCAGCATCACACCCACCCAGCAAATAGTGCCCAATGATGGGGGTGACCCAGCCAGGGGCTGGCTGCCCACCCACCCTCCTTCCTCTTGACGGAGTGCCTGCGGGGCAGGAGACCTTGCTCTTACCAGGTGGAGGAGTGGCCGTGGAACCGGGCTCATGTCTCCAGCATAAGTCCAGGAGCTCGTTGTTAAGGAGAATCCCTGTCCGTGGTGAGTACACCATCGCTCCAAAGCTTCAGAGGGGAAAGGTGGAGCCTGAGCTTGGGGCCCTGGCTCCCAACGTCAGGGGGCAGCAAACTCCCAGCACGCTTTACACCAGAGCCTGGCACTACCCACAGGCCCCAAAGATCCCCTTTGGCCCCCGTCAGGACACCCCATCAGGTCCATGCCAGACAGGACCTATCTCAGGGCCACCTAGCAATAGCTTTTCTCAGCGAGCGATGTCCTGGTGCCAGACAGATAGCGGGGGAAGCAAAAAGCGAGAGGCTGCCTGCCTAGAGACCAGCAAAGACAGGTCAGTGGGAGTAGACCAAAGGAGACCTCGGCATCAGGAGCAGAAGAGTGGGTCCGGCCCCCAGGCCCGCCCCACCACCCACCCCCCCCCAGCGCCGTCTGCCCCTGCCCCCCCCCTCCAGGTCCCACGCGCACGCACGGCGTGTTGATGGTGCTGGTGGCTGCCACAGCACTGCCGTCTTCTCCCAGCACTGACACGTGAGAGGTGCCCATCCCGTTGGCCCTGACCCCGAACAGGTTGTAGTGGCTGGGCTGGTGGTCACCGCGGCCATCAATCCGCTGACGGATGTGACGGGCTAGAGCCTCCCCGAGAAGGTCCTGGGAGTTGTTCTGGGTTGAGCAGTCAGATGGCAAGGTGTGAGGACCCATGGGTCGGGGCGTGGTCCTCAAAGCAGAGGCAGGATGAGCTCATCTCCCATGCGAGATAAACCTGGATACTCCCTGCCGTATCTATCACTCCGGAGTCTCTTCCAGCCCTGGGGACCACTGCAAGGATATCCTTGCCTGGAGCTCCAAGGAAATTCCTCCACCTTCTCTGCGCCAGCCCTGACCCTCCTCCCTTCATGCTACATACACGCGGAGGAAGGAGGGAGGGCACCATCAGTCCCAGGGAGCCTTACTTGTATCCCTGGGTGGCTGTGAGGGTCCCACAGCCTCCACCTCTGCCCTACTGCGAACTTGAGTGTCTCGACAAGGCGATGGTACACAGTCACTTTCTCTTCAGGCCGGGCCACCATCTCTGCGGTGAAGTTGAACCCTGGGTAGGTAGTGGGGTGCTAGGGGGTTACTTTGTATAGTGGGGTTGATGTTGGACCCACCCCCCTAGAAAGATTGATTCATTTTTTTTATCCCCAGAATTCATAAAAAAATTGATTTATATTGCACAAGAATTCGTACTACATTTTATGGCAAAATACATAAAGGATTTTAAGAGGAGGCATTTATCCTGCATCGTGTAGATTGTGTAGCTTAGCCCTAAATATGATCACATGCATCTTTTCCCCCTGGAGACAGGGTTTCTCTGCGTAGCCCTGGCTATCTCAGCTCATTCTGTTGACCAGTCTAGCCTGAAACTCAGAGATCTAAACTCACCGTTCCGACCACCTCTGCCTCCTGAGCACCCAGATCAAAGGCGTGCGCCACCACGCCAGGTCACATGAGTATCTATGAGTCAGACACCCAGAGAAGAGACGCCGTCTCTTGTCTGTGGTCTTGACTCTCCGCATCTTCCCTGCAGTTACCTACAGTCAACTGTGCTCTGAAAACATTAAGTGGAACATTCCAGAATAAACAGTCTGTAAGCTTTAAGTGTCGTTCTGGATGGAAAGTTCTAAAATAAACAATCCGTGATGAAATCTTGTGCCGCCGTGCTCCATCACACCAGGATGTAAATCCTTCCAGTATTCAAACTGAATACGCGCCTGCTCGCTAATCACTTATTAACAATACCCCCCCCCCCCGCCCCAGCACTGAGACTGGTACCCACAACATCACTGAGACCAACTCTAAAATACACAGTCCTGACCACTCTCCTAGACAGTCCGTTAGCCTAGTGTGTAAAAAAAAAGACAGCGGCCATATGCTATGATTAGGCTATGTCTTGAGTGTGCCCAACGGTTCATTGCGATTGGAGACTTGATCCTCATAGTGTCAGCATTGGGAGGTAAGACTTAATAGGAAGTCTATAGGTCGCTGAATGTTTGCTATTGGAATGGGCTTCACATGTGACTCTGGTTGTTCTTACAGGCAGGTAAGTGCCCAGACTGCTGAGCTGCATTCCCGGAGCTAAACAGTTCTTGATAAGTAGCCGTGCCCGGTCTTATGTTACAGTGACAGAAAGCTCATTGTTCCCCAAAGTCAGGGACGAGCTGAGAGCTCATGCTCCCCCGCAGGGCTGAGCTGGAGGGGAGAGAGGAGGCTTGAGAAGGTCTTGCCTTTCAGCACGTTGAGAATGAAGCTGAGAACAGCACCCCCTGCAGGCGGTGGTGGGGAGTACAGGGTGTAGTTTCCCAGGGGCAGCTCCAGAGGCTCCACCACTTCCGGCTGGAAGGCAGCCAAGTCCTGAACCGTCAGCTGGCTTCCTGGAGGGAGACATCGAGAGCTCCAGGGGATTGCCGAAGAAAGGCTTGCTCCTCATCTCAGGATACGCAAGGCCAGCTAGTGCTAGGATACTCGTGCCTGCTAGTGCTGTAGCCCCCGAGGGCTGAAGGTATACGTGCAGTGAGGGGTGATGGTGAGTGTGTATGGGCAGAGTGGGTGGACAGAGAGTTGAGGAAAGCAAGTGGGAACTGGGAGGAGAAAGGTGGTCAGCTCGGCCACCCAGGCGTGCCGTTGACTCTTTTTTTTCTTCTTTTTTTTCTTTCAAGACAGGGTTTCTCTGTGTAGCCTTGGCTGTCCTGGACTCCCTTTGTAGACCAGGCTGGCCAAGAACTCACAGAGATCCTCCTGCTTCTGCTTCCCAGGGTACTCGGATGAAAGGTGTGTGCCACAGCGCCTGGCTGCAGGCAGAAGCTCTGTCACTCCAGGTTCACCACTGAGACCCCTAAGGCTAGCAATGGCTGGGCCGGACTAGATGAGCAACTGTCCTCCCCCAAATCCCTGGACCCCGGCAGTCCTGAAGGGCCTGGGAAAGTTGTGGCTTTAACCCCTGAAGCCCAGAACTTGGCTCTTTCTCTAGCTGTGCTGGGTGTTGGGAGTATCGGTTTAGCTAACCTTCCTTGGCAATGTCCTCCACCAGCATTCGGCCTAGCCTCCCCGTGTACAAGGCCTCCGGACCCTCCGTGGCCACAGTCTCCAGGGTGTTGGCCAGTGCAGGCCACGGGAATGGGTCCTGAGATCTCAGGGTTTCTGTCCCGTTGAAGAAGAGCTGTCTAGGGCAGGTAGGAGGCAAACTCAGACTTCAGACGCCAGATCCCCGTGACAGTCACATTTCCTGCTGAAGTCTAGAAAAATCTTCAGGATCTGCTTGGGGGAACAGCCGTGGTCCCAGCACTGAGGCACTGGGAAACTGGTTCTCTAGAAGGAAGTGGGACTGGGGCCACCATCCTCACTCCTGGCCCCGGAACCTTTCTGGTGTGTCCGTGTTTCCCAGGGTCACTTCATCTACTGGGAATACCTAGCACTGACCTAGCAGAGCAAGAAAGGGGTCAGCCAAAGATCGTCTGCCACCCCCAAAGAGAAGCAGAAGGAAGCTAGGCTGGAGGTGTAAGCTGTCCTCAGCCTCAGTTAGGTTTTGACCGGAATCGGGTAAGCATGGACTAGCCTGGCTGTAAAGGCTTTGGCGCAGGCCACTGGATTGGGGCGCAGCCAGGCTGTGGCTGAGCTTGGGTGGGATATGGATTTGAGGAGCACCCTGCGGTGCTCACCTCAGCGTTGATGAATACAGGAAGGGCCTCAGGAAGCTGTTGAGGAACTGGCTTAGGACAGAGGGCACGCGGAAACCATCTCGGAGCAGCGCAATGGTGGGCTGGAAAAGCTGAGCCCAGGGCAGGCGGCCATGTCGGCGGTGGGCCTCAGCATAGCCACGGAGCTCCCCAGGAACTCCAATCCACTGGGCCCCTGCGTGATATGCACCTTTCCTCAGCCCAGTACAACTCCTCTCACCCCAACTTCTGGAGGAACATGCTTGACTATATTGCTCCCTGCACAGACCTCCTGTGGCTCCCTACAGCCTTCCAAAGCCCACGCAGAAAGACCACCACCAGCCACTGGATCATTGCAATAAACAGAACCAGCCCTAGGTTACCCCACCCCCACCCCCAGAGCCTGCTCTGCCCTCAAACAAACTGGCCCCAGGATCCCTGTCCCACCAACACATATCCACTGAGCTCCCCAAGACTGGTCTTCCGCTTGGGACACACCCCCAACTCAGAGGTCCCCCCTCCCAAAAGAAGCCTTCCAACCCACCCCAGGAGGTCGGGGGTCCACAGTCTCCCCATGCCCAGGGTGTCACAGCTTGTTCATGTCTGACCCTTTTGGGGGCGGGTCCTAGACAGGGCCATAAAGAACCCTTCCCAAAACCTTACCTTTGCCCAGTGGCAGGGCGTCTTTGCACTGGTCCAGCAAGCCCTGGACATGGCTGGCTGGCACAGTCTCCCGAGCATTGATGACCTCCACCTTCCCTGGAGTTGAGACAGGGTGAGAGATGGCCCCAACCTGCTCGAGGTCTTGGTTTCCATCTCCGTGTTAACCCTTGGAACACTACCTACCAGCAGGGCTTTGCACAGTAAGAGGCAAAGGTAGCACAAAGCGTCCCAGGGGTGCCCAGGAGGAAGCATGCAAGAAGGCCCGAGGAGAGAGTGCCCCGTGACTGAGATGTCCCATCTCCCCAGGGGACATCACATGAGGGCACACCTGTTGATGCATTGTAGATGGTGAAGATGACCCCTCCACCCAGGCCCATGCTCTGGGGGTTGGTAACACCAGTACAGATCAGGGCAGCGATGGTGGCGTCCACGGGTGAGCCCTGTTGCTGGAGAATGGCTCTAGGGGACACGACAAGGAATCAGAGCTCTGGCTTCTCGACCCCGTCTCTTCCTGGGCTCACTTGACTGGGAAACAGTGACACATTGCTGGTCTGTCTGCTGGCACCAACCCCCAAGGTGGATGAGAAAGCGCACTGAGCTGTCCCCTCAATTCAGCTACTCCCTGATCCTTCATCACACCCAATAGACTGCAAAGAATGGGGGCATTTACACATCCTTGTGGCACAAATGTGGTGGTTCTCCATTTGCAAAAGATTCTGCTGCCACCATCCCCTGAAGTTCCTGGAAACGCTTGCTCATTGCAACAGGAAGGACCTGGCCCCCTGCAACTCTGGGTCTCCTTTCTGAGAGTCCACTGTCTAAGCTGCCCTTTGGCAGGTGACCCCAGGATCCTGCCACTAGGGTCCAGTACTTGGACTGATGAGCCATTCCATCTTTTTCTTTGTCTTCAAGCCTATAACAATATTCTTGGGCTTCAGATGCCCAAGGGGCGTCCGAGGGGCAGGTCCTTCAACTTCAGAGTGTTAGTGAGACTGGCCTGTGTCTCAGCGGATACCATGCCAGGAAGTTCAACCTGCACAGCTCTCCCAAGGACTGCCCCTTCCTTCACACCTAGAGGCCCTCCCATCCCTCCAGGATTACCACTTAACCCCCAAGTACCACGGGGAACTCAAGGCCCACAAGAGCCAACCTAGGGCTCCTCCCGAAACTCCGTGGGACCTCTGACCCCACATCCTCCTTTGACTCAGTTACCTGTGACCCAGCCAGTCCACCCTGGACTCTGCCTCACTGTGGCTCCTCAGCTTAAATGTTAGTATTTATGGGAACCCCGTTATCACACATGTAATCCTGGAGTGGAAGGGAGCCAGAAGCATCAACGAAACAAGACTAAGATAGTCATGCATAAGTACAATTTTTGTAAAGATTGGTGTGTGTGAGTGTTCTGTGTAAAGGCCAGAAGAGGGTGTTGGATACCCTGAGCTGGAGTTACAAGGTAATGTGAGCCTGGTATGGGTGCTGGGAACAGAACTTCGGTCCTCTCCAAGTGCTGTTACCCACTGACCCATCTCTCCAGCCCCATAAGCACAAATTCTTAACAGCAGAACATCATCAGCAAAGTCGGGTGAAATCGGTTGAAGAAATGACATATTCCCATCAGAGACAAGGTCACGGCTCTGCTTGAGGCCCCTCGGCAACAGCCGGTCCTGTCAATTGCTACTTCCCACTGAAACCCCTTTCCACACTCAGCCTCTTTGACTCCCATCATGGGCTTTTCTTTGACCTCCCTGACCTCCCAGTGTTGAGTCCTTGGTCCATAGCTAAGCTCACCGGTGAAATGCAAACTCTTTCTTTGTACTTTTAACTTGTGAATTTAGCTTCTAGGCAGTCCTCTTCCCTAAAGTTGAGAAACTTTTGTGCAGCCATCTACAGACGGCTCGCCGGGAGCTAAGAAGTACCACACGCCCACCCTGACTCAAACTGCATCTTTTCTGTCCCTCCTGCCTCTACCCCCACAACCTGCTATTCTTGTTTTCGTGGGCTTAGAAAATGCCGTAGATATTTGCCATTTAACTCTGTCCCTCACCCTTGGAGTCATCCTGGGTGGCCAGTCTCTTCCACTCTACATGGGAGATACACCATGTCCACCACCCTGGTCCAAGCTACCGGTCCTTGAGGAGTTCCTGGGTTTCTGCAGGGGCCTGTTGTGCCTGGTCGCCTGTGTCTGCCTGGTTTCTACACATTTCAGTAGAATAACCAGCCAATGGCTACCCAACATCCCAGTCGTGGATAACTAAACACTTCAGTCCAAATTCCCACAGAGAACTAGGAAAGCCAGATAAATCAGAATCATGTGCTGTGGAGACGTTGGCGGCAGTAGGGTTCCTGGCCAGGGAGGCAGGCCCGGCATCTACAGCTGCTTTTCCCTGGAGGAGATTGCCATTTCCACACAGGTAGCAGAGCGGTGGGACAGTGCTGTTGGCACCCTCTGACAGCTAAGGGAAGGGGAGATGTGCATGAGCCATGCTCCAGGAGGGGTCCTTTCCTAGATGTAACATCCGGAATTAGGCTAGGCCTCTCTGCAGGGGGCCCACCAGCAAACCATCAAGTTACTGGAATTATAAAGGAGATCCCAGAATTTTAGAATCCTAAGGCCTTGAGAAAATTAAAAACCTACTTTTATTAACCTATTATTTGGGGTTATTTTGGCATTCGTTTGTTTGATTTTTGTTTTTTTTTAACAGAGTCCTAGACTATAGCTCAGGCTGGCTCCATACTTATGGTGATCCTCCTGCCTCAGTCTCCAAGTATTAGAATTACAGGAGGAAGCCACTATGTTTAGTCCAAAAATTATTTTTGACAGCCCTGGGTGGTGGTGGCACACACCTTTAATCCCAGCACTTGGGATACGAAGGCAGGTGGATCTCTGTGAGTTTGAGGCCAGCCTGGTCTACATATCCAGGACAGCCAAGTCTACAAAGAGAAAGCCGGGTCTTGTCACCCTCAAATTTTATTTTTTAGCAATTGTTATACATGTTCTCCAATTCTAGGTGGAACACAAACAAGACAGCAAGGAAACATAACAGAATCTCTCTCTCTCTCTAGCTCAAACTGGCCTCAAATTCATGATTCTCCTGCCTCATTCCCCTAAATGCCAAGACTTATCAATATAAGCCACCAGACCAAACTACAAATATCCAAATGACTATATCTCAACATATAGAAGCCAGGATTAAAAATTCCAAGCCTGCGGATGGCTCAGTGGGTAAAAGCACGTGTCACGAGAGCCCAGTGACTTGAGAACATGCATGCCACATGTGACGGCCCGTACCTCCATGCCCAGCATTCCTACGTCTAGATGCATGGGAAGCTCCAGGAAGCTCACGAGCTAAGCTAGCCTGGAGTATTTGGTGGGGCAGAAACAAGAGACCCTTTCTCAAAAACAAGGTGGAAGATGAGAAGCAACTTCCAAAATTCTTCTCTGACCCCCACATGTTAGAGTGACCCACACTCACATACAAAATAAATTAATTAATTTTGTTTGTTTGTTTTGTTTGAGATGGTGTCTTACTATGCAGCTAGCTCTGGCTAGCCTGAAATTTGCTACGAAGAACAGGCCTACCTCAGACTCACAGAAATTCACCCGTCTCTGCCTCCCAAACACTGGGGTTAAAGATATGCACCTCTATGCCCCTCTTAATTATTTTTTTTTTAAAAATTTTATCAGTTCTCTGGCAACTGGAAATGAAAAGCTGGAATTAGGGACTCAATGCTAATAGTAGGTTAGACACAAACATGAAAAAAATCAGTGAACTGAAAACTCAGGAGACCAAGGCAGGAAGATCACCTGGGCCCTGGAGCTTGAAGCCAGCCTAGCAACATAGTAACATCCCCCCCCCCAAAAAAAAAAATAAACATGGAGAAAACAAAGAAACAAACAAGAGGGCTGGCAAGTTGGCAGGTGGAGGGGCTTATGTACAGATCTATCTGAGCTGGATCTCACAGGTGTCAGGAGAGAACTAGCTCCTAAGGGTCATTCTCTGACCTCCCCAGGTTAACTATGGCACATGAACCTGTATATGCCACCCCCCCACACACATATACAACCAACATATACACATATGTACCCACTTAAACACACATATACATACATATACACTCACACACTTAAACACACACACATTTACTGTGGTGATTTGACTAAGAATGGTTCCTCACAGGCTTATGTATTTGAGTGTTTAGCCACCAGGAAATGGAAATATTCCAAAGGATTAGAAGGATTAGGAGGTGTGGCCTTGTTGGAGGAAGTGTGTCACTCGGGCTGGGCTTTGAGGTTTCAAAAGGTGTTCTCTCTCTCTCTCTCTCTCTCTCTCTCTCTCTCTCTCCCTCTCTCTCCCTCTCTCTCCCTCTCCCTGCCTACAGATCAGGATGTGGCTCTCAATGACTGCTCCAGCATCATGCCTACTTTCATGCTCACTGCCATGATGACAATGGACTAACTCTCTGAAACTGTAAGCAAGGCCCCAATTAAATGTTTCTTTTGTAAGAGTTGGCTTGGTCACGGGGTCTCTTCACAGTAATAGAGCAGTGACTAAGGCATACCCTTATACACACACACACACACACACACACACACACACACACACACACACCCCAGGGAAGAGAAAAGTAAATCAATCAGAAAATAAGTAAAGAGACATAAAAGATACAAGAATAAGGTAGAAATCACAGAACACAGGAGCTCTGTAAAGACAGAGGTGAGAATGGAGAGTAACCAACACTGAAGAGACAGAGCTGAGGCCAGGTGTGGTGATGCAAACTGAGGCAGAGGCAGGCAGAGCTCGGAGTTCCATGTTAATCCGATCTCTGTAGTAAATTCAGGACAGCCAAGGATACACAGTGAGAGCCTGTCTCAAAGAAAGAGAGAGGGGTGGGGGGAAGAAGAAGGAAGGAAGGAAGGGAGGGAGGAAGGGAGGAAGGGAGGGAGAGTGCGAGGGAGGGAGGGAGGGAGGGAGGAAGGAAGGAAGGAAGGAAGGAAGGAAGGAAGGAAGGAAGGAAGGAAGGAAGGAAGAAGCTGGGTGGGTGGTGGTAGCATACACCTTTAACCCCAGCATTTAGGAGGCAGAGGCAGGTCAGCCTGGTCTACAGAGAGAGTTTCAGGGCAGCCAGCACTGTTACACAGAGGAACCTTGTCTCAGGAAACCAAACAAACAAACAAAAACAAACCAACCCACTAAACACAGAAGCTGAGTGTAATGACACAAGCTTATAAACCCAGCATCAGTGGGCTGAGGCAGGAGGATCACAAATTAAAGACCAATCTGGGTCACATAGCAAATTAAAGGCTGCGTAATAAGACCTCATGTCAAAAACAAACAAGCAGAAAACAAACACTAAAACAGGCAGAAACACATTTGCACACACGTATTTAGAATCCCATAAATGATAGTAGTTAGTTATTTTCCAGGTCCTTGCTTTGGGAAAAGAATACTAATGAATGT